GTCGTTCTTTTGATCTTTTTTACTGAAAACAGATTAGAGATCTACTTAATGAACCTATGTGAAGCCATAATGATCAGTGATAGTGATCACTGATTAGCATTAGTATAAACACACTCTCATCAATCAAATGAAAAAAATAATTAATTACCAACAAAACGAGGATATTTTTATATTGATTTACGCAAAATTTCTAGTGTATACAGGGTGGGCCACTTAAAAGTTCCACCCCCCCCTTATCTTCGTTATTCAATGAGTTATTGAAATAACTTTGTTCTTGTTTAAAAGACTAGAACAAATACTTTCTTACGATGGATTTAATTATTCTGTGACGTCATGGCTTACTTCCGGAATGTATGATCTTTATAACATCTTTGTTATCTTTAAAATTCACATTGATACCCATTTACCGTATACCAGTGGCGTATCTAAGCATTTTTAATATTAGCAAACCGTTTAATATATTCATCCGCTTTTATCTTCGTTGTTAATTGAGATATCGGAATGAAAACTTTTTTATTTAAAGCTTATAACAGATACTTTCATATACTGGATCCAATTGGTCTGTGACGTCATGGCTTAGTTTGGATTTTTCCGGATATAACTTAAAATCGCAATTTATTTATTAATTTAAAATCGAAACCTCTTTTTTGTTAAAAATTTGAATTACTGGGACAATATTGTACAAGAAAAGTATATTAAAATATTACTGTCAGTTATCAAAATGGCCGCCATATTGGATAATATTTTTTCTAAACATGTTACTATTAATTCGTTTATGGAAAAAAATATTGGAATGTATGATCTTTATAAAATCATTGTAAGCGTCAAAATTCCTATTAAGACCCACTTACAGTACACCAGTGGCGTATCTAAGCATTTTTATTATTAGCAAACCGTTTAGTAATTCCATCCGCTTTTATCTTCGTTGTAAATTGAAATATTGGAACGAAAAGTAACCGTCATATTGGATAATATATTTTTTAAACTGTTAATTCATTTATGGAAAAAAATATGGGCATGTATAACATTTTTGTGAGCTTCAAAATTCCTTAAATTCCTTAAATCTTTCTGATGAAATTAAGCTACTTTAAAATTTAAAATTAAAATAAATATTTTTTAAATTTAAAGATCTGTTAGGTGTCGTATTAATTTATTTTTCTGCTACTGTGCGTTAAAGTACATACATTATGCGCACTACGGAGTATATAAAGTTTTACTTTATTCATAAGTGCGTATAGTAAAACTTTTTACGCACTAGTGCGTCAAAAAGACACAATTTTGACATGACAAATGACATTTTATTTCAAACTTTTTTTACACGTTAGTGCGTAAAGTAACCTTTGTATCTTTTTTATTAGTTGGCAATATGTACGGGATTCTGCGCAGTCTAGAATTCGTGTTGCAACAAAATTTAGACTCAAAATGATAGAGTGTAGAAGAAAGAAGGACAATCTTATATGGTTGTTTATATTAACAAGTTAAAATCGTGCAGATGCCCTTAAAAATTGAGATTTTTTATTTTCTCATAGATCATCAAATATTGACCAAATGTATATGAAACTAGCCCTGAGGTATCCCTTTTTTATCAAAAAAATAATCATAGAAATCGGATAACGTGGTAAAGAATTATCGCTGAAAATACTTCAAAAATGGAGAATTTGATGATTTTCTTATGGACCTTATTATTAGATCTTGATAAAATTCATATGGAAATGGAACCACCTCTTTTTTAACAAAAAAAGAATCATAGAAATCGGATAACTTAGTAAAGAATTATCGCTGAACATACATAAAAATATGTTTCGACAAATTGAGAACCTCCTTCTTTTTTGAAGTCTGTTAAAATGAATTTATTAATTATGTAAAATATCGCAAAGTTATAATTTTTTATTAATTAGTAATTCCAATGATAGGTGCCAGTGGAAAGTTATTGTATATCTAAGGGGTAGCGATATCGTCTTGCATCTTGGACGCTATTTTTATTCGAAATAGTAGTCGCCCAGCCTGCCAAATTATGAAGAAATGTATAAGCGGGTTTTTTAAATATTATTTTTATTGTGTTTGACAAAAAATATTTAACATACTGGCTAACCGACCGCCAGCGGTGCTTGCATTTGTTGAAAAGAAAACCGTCTTCCGGCGGCATGGTCTTCTTCATACAGGAAAGCCGCCGCAAATCTAAACTGATTTGTTGATCAGGGCGGCATGCTATCAGTGGATTGAAAAATGCCGTCGGACGACGGTCTAATGTATTTAAAACATTGAATGCCGGTGGTAAGAAAAAATACTTGTAAAATCGTCTACATTTTTGTGGCAAATGATCATAATATGTCGTACGCGTTTTATTTGTACATCGGTCTCCTTTTGACAGAGTAGATGACCTGTGTCCAGGCCGTTGGTGTTTATGCCGGTCGGCGTAGCCAGGTATGTATTGAAATTTAATGGTGGCGGCGAAGCCGCCATTCTACGAGAAGTCCTTAATTCCTCTTCTTGTTGTCACGGCATTATTATTATTTGTTCATGTATGTGAAATTTGCTTCTAAGGTTTATAAAATACTACTGCTAGTCACGGCGTAAATGAAAACAAACAAGACGCATTCACACAAACACCTCCCACCAAAGCAATTACAACTAATTAGTGTTGTCCCCGATACGCGAGTATTTTCTGGCGGCATTTAATGTTTCAAATACAGTAGACCGTCGTCCGGCGTAGACATGGGTAACGCAGCGCTGCGTTGCGATATTGCGTTAACGCAGTTGTATGCGTTACGAGCGTTGATACACCAGTTGTTACTGTATCAGCGCAACGCAATTTTCGATACTGAGTCGAAAGGATCGCGAGTTGTTGGTGCGCCATGCGCCAGGCACTGATTCCGTTTTCCGTGACGAGTTCAGAATTTTAATTTACGTAATTGATGCAACTCGTAATGCAGATTACCCAAAATCTTTCAAGTAATTATGTTCTTTGCAACACGTCACATCATTTGTAGGATTGTAGGTCGAATTTTATGAATTTTAATCTTGTACACTGTCAATTTTTAGTTCTTTTCAATTTGATTGGCTACTAGTATACAAAATTTATATCCTTTTTATATAAATTGGAATTTTTGTATTTTTTGTAAAATCCGAACACAATGAAATAAAAAAATGAGTGCATTACACTGTTATATTTTCGTTTATTTTTAAACATATAATAAAAAAAATTTAAGTTAAATTCACAATTGCGTTATTGCCTTGAACAAAAGACAGCCCGCGCTGTATAACACCGGTATCATGCGATACACAGAGGTGCATCGACTTCATTCGGCGCAGGCAGTGGTGTGACGCAATAACGCAATTGCGTTAACGCAATGAGTTGGCGCAATAGAGTGCGCCGGAGTTAGTGTATCAACGCAAAGAATTTTAGTGCGTTACCCATGTCTAGTCCGGCGGCCTTATCAATACTCTGATAGCCTGCCGCCCTCATCAGCAAATCAGTTTAGATTTTCGGCGGCTTTCTTATATGTGAGAAGACCATGCCGCCGGAAGACGACTTGTGCTTTATTAAATTCAACTACCGCCGGCACCGGCGGTCGGCTAGCCAGTACGAATATTTAAATGTAATCCATTGTTCATGAGTTTACGTATAGTAGATAGAATACATCGTAAGCCGCAACCCTTAGATATACCAAACCTTCCCACTGGCAATTCATTTGTTTGGAATGCCTAATACTCTTCTTAAACATAACCACAAAACATAAAATTAATACTTATTTTTTGAATGTCCTTTTCCACAAAAATTATTTTTTCTATAAAATATCTATACCTATTGAAAACCTATACAATAGTAGAAATGAAGAAATACGTAAAGCATTTAATTTAAACATGAAAAAATATACCTAATAAGAATAAAACAAACCAATATACCGGGTGTTCAAATTAAAGTGTTACAGTTAAATACCGCCGAAAATATGCATTTTAGTAAAAAAGTTTCAGACAAAAGTTTTATAGTTTTTTGGGGGAAACATTTTGGCTAATTTTTTTTTTTATAGCCATGGTCATATCGAGGTGGACTTTGTTTTTTTAAATGGGAATCCCATTTTTTTACATTAAAAAAAATAAGAAACATTTGATGGAAATATTTTTTTTATTAGACTTTTACTTTTTGAGTAACAGCTCCTTGAAAATTTTGCCATAATATGGATTGCTATAAAAAACGATTTTAGCCAAAAAAATTTCCCCACAAAACTATAAAACTTTCGTCTGAAACATTTTTTTTATAAAAGGCGGTATTCAGCTGTAATACTTTAATTTGAACACCCGGTATATTTACCTATTTAGCATAAGTAGAATTATTTCAGCATATTAAAAAAATATATAAGGATTTTATTTACTTTCCTAATAACATTGTTTAAAATATAAATTATCTAGTTTCTTTTTTCTTTATTTAAATTTGGTAACTAAATATTCAAATATACTTATATTACTGATGATAGTTTATATTTTGGACCAAAAACTAATAACATATTTTTTTTTTCAAATCGGTAGTTCTGCACTAATTTTTTGATATTGCACATACTTTTTCACTCATCTTAATTGTGTCTGTAATCTGTAATGTTTTATTTCTGTTTCGTAAGTTTGAAGTAGGACTGTCGGCAACAAAAAAGCCTTCGTAATGACCGATTTTCTAGAGAATTCAATGTAAAGTTACCAAAATATCTAATTTAATATACAATATATACAATTTAATGTATCAGCTTAGATCAAATTCAATGTTTGATTTAATTCTTAATTAATGGTGACTCAAATTTTGTTGATGAGAGTTTAAGAGTCATACCTTGAACTTAATATTGAAGTGTATGAGGTACTTTTGTTCAAACTATAACTTCTTTTATTTGTTGGCAAGTTTAAAGAAGTAGGTACTTGGCCTATAATACAATAATTTAGTATCTGAAGAAATTACTAACTATACTAAAAACATTCAAACATTATTGGTTCGCCAAATTTATTAAACATAATACCTTGTTTGTTTTTTAGATGACATAGGTTCACCACTACTTTCCTTTTCCTGCTTTATTTGTGTAATACAAAGTTCCTAAAAAGTAAAGATACAATTTTTAAAAGTACTCGATATTGTCACGTCCAGTAAAATATTAAAAAATCATCATTAAAATTCATTAAAATAAATTATTATACTTTTAAATAAATCCTAGAATAAAATAATTATCTCTAATTGAAAATCTTAATAATCTCTTAAATGTAAATATATCCTTAAGTAAATAATATCGTATACATTTCATAACAAAAACATAGACGTTGAACTATTACCGACCTGCATTAATTGTGTCGAATTAAAGAAATAGCAAATTCAGCAAATAGTTAATAGGTATAAATTCGACACTGATTACTGTTACGAGGACAGTTCTCCTTTTACTGCACTGAGAGGTATCTAAAGTAATAGATACCTTTTAGTTTTTGGAGTAAGCGTCGTGACGTGCCACTAACGGGGATGTTTTGGTAAGGCCTTTTATATTGTATTATTATTATTATCTGTTATACATTTTTGAATATTAATTATTTATTGATTAATAAAATTGTTATATTTCAACTCGACTTTTATTTCATAAAGAAAGGTAGCACGAATTAATAACATTAAATAATTCTTTCGACCCATAGAAAAGGGGGTCGTGACATATGGTGGAGGCGCCGGGCAGTCCACACAGCCTTTTACGAATTTCTCTACGTCTTTTTGTAAATGTGGCCAGTAATACCTAGATCTAATTTTGTCCAGAGTTTTTGCTATTCCTAGGTGACCTGCTATAGGTTCACTGTGATGAGAAAATAATATTTCTCCAATCAAGTGATTGGGTATTACTAGAAGGTTATCCGTCCCCTCAGGTTTGCCGTTTACTTTATAGAGTACATCCCCTATAAGTCTGTAATTTTTTGCTCTTCTGCCTAAGCCTATGGTTTCAGAGTTTAGGTCCAGTATCGCTTTATGAATATTTGTTATTTCGGGATCCTTCTGTTGCTCCTTTGCCATATCCTCGGTTTGCAAGAGAAATGTGGCGATTTCGTCTATGCTTTCCACGTCTTTCATGGTTGGTTTCATAACAGGGCAGCGTGAGAGACAATCAGCGTCCTTGTTTAAGCTACCGCTTTTATGGTTTATGACGTACTGGAATTCAGACAATTTGAGACTCCACCTTGCAAGTCTTCCTACAGGATCTTTTATAGTACGTAACCAGCACAATGCATGATGGTCCGTAATTATTGTTACATTTTTGGTATACACTAGATGTCTGAGGTATCCTAGCGCCCATATGACTGCTAGTGCTTCCAGCTCTGTAATGCTATAATTCTTCTCAGCTTTCGAGAGACTCCTGCTTATATAAGAAATAGGGTGCATCTCTTCATCCGGCCCTCTTGTAGAAGAATCGCTCCAATTCCAATGTTACATGCATCGACCCTTAGTTCACATTCCTTCTCTGGGTTGTAATGGTGCAGAACGGGGGCCGTTAGCAATTTTTCTTTGAGAGTATTAAAGGCTTTTTGTTGACTTTCTCCCTAAAGGAATCCGGTGTCCTTCTTTGTTGCGAGATGAAGAGGTCTTGCTATGAGAGAAAAGTTTTTTATAAACTTCCTGTAATAATTACATAATCCCAAAAAACTCTGAATACTTTTTACAGTTGTGGGGTTGGGAAATTTTTCAATAGCTATCAGCTTGCTAGAGTCTATGCCTAGTCCTTCTTCAGTAACTGTATATCCTAGAATATTCACGTTGGTTTGGGCAAATACACATTTACTTGGTTTTAATGTGAGATTGGCCTCTCTCAGGCGTTCGAAGACCTTCGAGAGTTTTTTCAAATGCTCTTCTTTGGTTGATGAAAACACGATAATGTCGTCGAGATAGATCAAGATTTCCTTCCATTTCATACCCCAGAAGACTTGATCAGCCAAGTGCTGGAATGTCGCAGGCGCGTTGGTGAGCCCAAATGGAAGAACATTACATTCATATTGGCCATGCCCTTGAGCCACAAACGCTGTGTATTGTTTTGAGTTTTCATCCATGGGTACTTGCCAGTATCCACTAAACATGTCCAACGTGGTGAAGTATTTCGCACCGTTCAAGTATGTTAAAATGTCATCAATTTGAGGAATAGGATAGTTAGACTTTTTTGTGACATCGTTTAGTCTTCGGTAGTCCACACAAAACCTCGTTTGACCATCTTTCTTCTTAACTAACACCACTGGGCTTGACCATGGGGAGTGACTGGGACGGATAACATCGTGATCCAACATCTCTTGGATCTGTTGGTCTATTATGTCTCTTTCCTTTTGTGATACTCGGTATGCTCGACTTTTTAGAGGAGCAGTATTTTCTACCTCGGTGAGGTGGTCAACCCCATCGTCAACATTGATTTAGAGAAGACATCAGAGTAGTTTTCTATCAGCTCTCCTAGATCTTTTTCAAATTTTTTATCTTTGATGTGCATTATATCAAAGTCTTTTATTGTTACTTTTTCTTCTTCTTCGGATACGACGAATGTCCAGTTTTCCTGGTCCTTTCGGATTTCATTAAGGAAACCTATGGTGCTATTTTTAAACAACTTAATTTTCTGGTGATTTTTATTAAATATTACCATTTCTTTTTCTTTCGTTATTTCGTCAATATTTGACATAACGACCAGAGATTTTCTGGAAATGTTTTTGATATTTTCGGTAAAATAGTAAGACTCAGCGCCATTTGCCAAAAAATTCAGAATATCTACAGGTATGGTCGTTTCGATTCCAGGATCCAGAATGCAGTCTTTAGTTATGAACACTTTCTTGGGGTTTTCTGGGATCGTGATATAATTACAGTTTAGTAGGTCCTGTTCCTCGTACTTAGAAAATACAATGACTTTGTTTTCGTCATTATTTTCCTGTGTGTCCTCTTGACAGGGCACTTCCCCTAATCGAAGGGGTGCTGATAATGTTCCTGTGATCTCACAACTCTTACTCTTAAGGTTTTGCTGGTTTACGGTATGCTTTATGTTGGCTATACATTCTGCATGGTACTTGTTCCTATATTCCATTTCATCGGAAGGCGCTCTAACTAGACCTGCATTAATTGTGTCGAATTAAAGAAATAGCAAATTCAGAAAATAGTTAATAGGTATAAATTCGACACTGATTACTGTTACGAAGACAGTTCTCCTTTTACTGCACTGAGAGGTATCTAAAGTAATAGATACCTTTTAGTTTTTGGAGTAAGCGTCGTGACGTGCCACTAACGGGGATGTTTTGGTAAGGCCTTTTATATTGTATTATTATTATTATCTGTTATACATTTTTGAATATTAATTATTTATTGATTAATAAAATTGTTATATTTCAACTCGACTTTTATTTCATAAAGAAAGGTAGCACGAATTAATAACATTAAATAATTCTTTCGACCCATAGAAAAGGGGGTCGTGACAATATTATTTAAAAATGCACAAACTTATGATATATTTGTTGCAGCAAAGCAGTCCTCTAAAAAGTGCCTTGAACAAATGTAATATATTCGTTCAACATTTCAGTCAATTACAGTGCCTCTAACTATAAGTTTCTTCTAATTCGTCTTTTAGAACACTAAATATAATAATTTTATTTATTTTAATATTCATATTTTATTTTCCTTTTTTCTCCTAAAACGACGCCCATGTTCTTTGGTAAGAAATAATATTAACGAGTGAAACGTAACCTCAACTCATCTTTTATATTTAAAATCATATAAAACACAATTTTTTTCCTAGTATAAAATAAACCCTACAAACCAAAGTCTCTTTTTACACCACCATACTTGAACGAATTACTTATTACTTAAACGTCAATTTGAGTACCTGTTTTGGACCAAAGAAGGCGTGCATCCTGTACCATCTTGAAAAAAAACCTCTTTAATATTCAATATTTTTCATTTATGAACACTATAAAGAATTCAACATTACAATTGACGTATTATCTACTTGAGCATTTTTTATTATGCAAAACAAATTAAATATTCACCAATTTGCTTTAAAAACAAATTTTTTATTTAGATCCCTTTGTTATCCAGTGGTTTAAAATCAAATAACAAATATTTAAAAGTTGGCTTATCGCGAAAACATTCACATTCTGTTTCCAGATAGCAAGTTTTTCATTAACTTTCTTTTCTTGATTTGAGATGAAAGTCGAAAAAAATATACCCTTTAGTATAGTAATAAACAATCTGACCTTCTGTTATGTTTTCCCAAAAAAAAGTGATGAATATAATATGACCAAATTTTACATAGTCTCTACTATCATCAAGGTCTTCACTTTTGTGTTTTTTGTTCTTGGGACTTTTTTGCATTTCGTGAAAGCGTTAAAAGGTAAGACACGTTATTAAAAATGGACGATTTTAAGTCTGCTGTTATTTAGTTATTTGACAATTTTTTTTCCACTATCACCAGGTCGCGGAATTTTTAATAGAAAAACTTTCAAATTTTTTTTGTCGAAGAAATTTTCTTTGAAAATTTTCGTTTGAAAGTAATTTTCATTGAATTTTTTTTTAACGAAAACTTTTGTTTGAATGTGTAACTGCGTGAAAATATAGTAAACTTAACTAATTTACCTAACCTAAAGTTGTACAGGGTGCGCAAAAAATAATAATAATTGTAAATTTTGCAATATTCAAAATTTTTAAATAAAATGTTTTAAGAGCGCTTTCTACTTGAAAAAAATCGTATTAAAAATTTTTCAAATCCACAATTTTTTTATTACGCACCTTGTACAATAAAATAGAAGTTTCTCAACGTGAATCGTATAAGTATAGTTACGTCCATCCGTATACAGACAGACTATATAATTATCCATCATAGACACCCCTGAAAATCTATTTTTTTAAATAATTTTTAAATTCGATGGTATTAGGCAAGTCTCCGTAAAATGGACAATTTTAAACACATTTGGCTTATTTAGTTTACCAGGGATGGACTAACTTTAACACAATAATGCAAATATTTTTTACACCCTATGTGACACAACAATAATATTTTTGGACAACTTAAAAATTAAACTAAAAAAAAATGATAAACTTGATCAATATCAATAAAATTACTTGTTTTCGTTTAAAATGATTTTTTGTATTAGTTGTCATTGATAAAAAATATTTTTTCTACACCCACCTGGATATTAGCTTATCTACGCACAAATTACAAAACGAAAAAGTATGCTATTGCATTCAACTGAACAAATATATTTCATAACCATTCTAGGTAGTGAGAACACTGCAAAAAAATGAAATCCACCAATCACAGTTCATATTTTAGCAGGGTTGCCAACCGGTCTTTACCGATTTACTCTCAAAAACTTTTCAGGATTACTCACAATTACTCACAATTTCAAAATATATAGTTTTTTTATATAAATTGTATATTTTGTACTGTTGCACTTTTGTTTGAATTTATTTTACTACTTTGCAAAAATATGGCGATAGGACCAAATATACCTTAATAAAATATTGCTGTGGAATAAGATACAGGGTGTTAAATTTTAATTCTGTTTTTTCGTTTTTTCTGATGTCACTTTATATTTATGAATTGTTATCAAAATTGGTACAAAGGCACATTTTTCGACAAGGAATAATATTTTATATATTATTTCACATTTTGTTACAGAAGGTGCCACGTGAATGATTCCTGGTGATGAAATTAAGTGGTAGCTTTTTTTACGAATCTTTTTAGTATATTTGATTAGTAATTTTACCCGTTTTCGAGAAAAACGCAATTGAACTCACAAAATATTTCATTTATGAAAAGTTTGCTTTGCAGTGTCAAATAATTTGCTGTTAGATTATAGTCTATTTTTATTACTATTATTATTATTATTTAACGTCCTGTATCTTATTCCACAGCAATATTGTATTAAGGAAGATTTGGCCCTATCGCCATATTTTGGTACAAATAACCTGCCCTTAGCCTATGTCCCAATAGTTATGAATATAATATATAAAACATCTTTGTAATCAGCTAAACAAAAAAGGATGGAGAATTAGAGTATATTCTTTAATAATGGGCGAAACCATAATAAATCATTAATTCTAATACTTAAAAAAAATCTACTAATAAAAATGAACAAAAAAAGATATTAATCGACGATTGGGACAGTCCCAATGGGACTATCACTATCGACAAGACACCTAGGGGTTGTAAAACATCAAAATCCCTTTTACTCTATTACATTGACCAAGCAATAGAGGACGCTGCAATTTTAAAACTACAAAATTGTTATGACTGCTAAAAGTGCTAGGGGGTAAAATTAGGCTTATATTAGATTTTTTTAAAAGAACACGGTTTTAATAAATTATGCGATCAGGATTTTGCCTAACTACCATGCATATACCCACGCTCACTTCCCGATTACTCACATATTACTCACAATTGCCCTTTACTCACAAAATTACTCACAGACTACTAAATTACTCACAAATGTGAGGAGTTACTCACAGATTGGCAACCCTGTATTTTAGTCACCCAACTACTATTATTTTTAAAATTTTAAATAAGTGACAATTCTGTCAAAGTAATTGTCAGTATATTTTTTAATTATTGAGATTAAATAATTAAAATGAGTTACTTTTCCGTAGAATCGATAAATAATAGCATTTTTATTTTTGTTTCGTCCCCATTTTGAAATAAATTTAAAATTTTAATCAAATTAGTAGTATTAGAACTAACATACGCATAGCTTCGTATTAAAACCAAACTGACATAAAAAAAAATAAGAATTGTACTCTTCGACATACGTTATAGCAGTTACAAGGCGGTCCAAAATAATAATTGTCCTAACGACATTTGGGATATTAACCGCAGATAGCTTTAATCGGAGGTGGTCCGACAATTAAAAGTTATTGAAAGGGGCGCCAGAATAATTTACCACGAATACCCCTCTTCTGAAAATACTTGAACTAGGATTACCAAATACTTAATTTTAAACTAATTCTTAACCTATAACGACGTATAGGAGGAACAGAAGTTGGAAAGTCTTTTGCCAGTTCTCCCACTGATCCCAGTGATCGCTACACATTGGCGTAGAAAATTATTTTATAATAACTAATAACAATTTTGCGTAAATAGTTTAATAAATTTTGAATGGGGTCTATTCTGTAACAATTCCTTTATATTTAACGGCCTTTAAAAATATTGGCGGCCTTTAAAAATATTTTCGTATTCGTTAATTTCTTTAAGATAGTCCTCGAATGAATTTTAGAGATCCGTTTAAATAATGACAGAAGTAAAGAAGAAAATATTTTTAAAGACCGTTAAACATAATGGAATTGTTACAAAATAGACCCCAATAGCTGTTAAAATTTTGTAGAATTATGATTTGGGATATTACTTGTTTAAATTAATATTTGTAGCCCATAAATAGATAAGTTACTGTACGATCTCTTTACGGCTGGCATATAATACAATTTTACAGTAAATTTAACTTCTGATAGCCCAAAACGGCCTCCAACGCTTTTTATCTACCAGAGTTATTGACAACCCCCATTGACACCATCGACAATTACTATTGACAAATAATACTGTGTTCATATAGTGCTCGACAAATAGAAAATAGTTTCCATGAAGCCTGCAACACAAAATACACCTAACTACATACCGTGTTGTCTAACGGCGGTATCAACCATCACAATGTGAGTTTTTCCAAAAACTACTTTATATACATTTTTTATGGATCACTCAATATTTAGTTTTAAACTAACAGTGGCGGCTGGTGGATAAGTGCTGCAGAGCTCCCAAAAAAAATGCTTTTTTTTTTTTTTTTTTTTTTTTTTTGATTTATTAGTGGAAATCTTAAGTGTTTTACATTTTCTAGGACATTTTGTTTTCCTATTTCCCTGCTATAGGAGTTATCCTCCTTTTCAGGGTGGTCTGCCCTGATTACAAAAGTAACCTAGCTAGCTAATTCCTAATTTTTGTGCGCGTGTGTGTGTGGGAAAAAAATGCTATAGTATATTACACACCGAGGTGGGAAGAGTTTCATTCCTGTCGTGAAATTAGTTAGATCACCGAGACGCGAAGCTATGATCTCGAGACAGGAATGAAACTTCCTACCGAGGTTTGTATACTATTTTATTTACAACCATCATATTTCGATCAAAGTTAATAAATCTCTGTTTTGTTCTGAACATACCTAAAATATTACATTTAACGACAAATTACCAAGCGCGCGTTTTCTTAGAATAATCAAGTAGGTAAATATATTGTTACTGTGATTACGGGGAAACAACTGTCACCAATATAAATAAATGTCAGATAAAGCCGGATATTAAATTCGCGAATAATAAATATCAATAAGTAGTTTGTTATATTTTAGATCATTGTTGTTTTTTATTGTTTGCGTAAAGTCGACCAGTGAAATAAACTACCTACCTACTAACACACACGCTTGTACAGGCGGTCGCTGAACTTTTATTTATCTGGGCCACATGATGAAGCTCTGTGCGCTTTCAAACATCCGCGCGGCACTCCGCTACCCCCACGCCCACGGTTAAAACAAACCGGTGATGCAGTGATTTAAGTGGAAAGTTGGCTGCAAATAGTCCAGCGCTGTGCATAATACATACGGTGTCGATTTGTTTCGAATTTTCTCACGACTTTTAAGTTTACGGCGAGTTAAAGTTAAAAACAATAATTTTAAGGGTGCGTGTATTGTGTTTTTGTGTATTGCTGACAATTATCTGTGTACTATGGAAGTAGTCTTCAATTTAATTAACGTAAAAAAAAATTAAATATACATATGAAGAAAAGATGGAATGAAAAGCAAAAGGTAGGCAATTACTAGATTTAATTATAGAAAAAACTGGTGTAAGTAGAGGAAAAAGTTACACACGAAAATTTAATAGAGATATTTATTCAAAAAACGAATGCATCTGTGGATGCAACAAATGCTCTGTACTGTTTTCCCTGTTTACTTTTTGGTGGCGATAAAGCTTGGACGGAAATAGGGGTCACCTATCTTGAATACTTAAAGATAAAAAAATATAAAAACTCTAAAAGCCATCTTCATAATTGCATGGAATTTGCGTTGCTAGGGACAACTAATATTATAGCTCAATTAGATTCTGCTTATTGGTTAAATAATGATTATGTGTCAAAGAATAGGTATGTTTTATCCAAAATTATTAATTGCATTAAGTTTTGTAGAGCTTTTGAACTGGCTCTTCGGGGACATGATGAGAGCGATTCTTCCGAAAATCTGGGAATATTTCGTGAACTTATAAATTTCTCGGCTGAATTAGATGCAACTCTAGGTGACCACCTAAAAAATTATTCGGTATTTAAAGGCACATCTAAAGAAATACAGAACGATCTGTTACAGTGTATGCTCGAGGTCTGTCATGAACAAATAATTGAGAAAATTAATAATTCTCCATTTTTAGCGATCATGAAGGACGAAACAAAGAATGTTGCTGCAAAAACTCAACTGGTAGTTATATTTAGATATGTTCGCAATGGTGAGTCAATTGAACGTTTTTGGAACTACTTAATTCCTGAAAAATGTGATGCAGAAACACTTAGTAAAACAATTTTAATTGTTATAGATCCTTTAATTCAAAATTCACTTAACAAACTAATTGCACAAAGTTATGATGGAGCCGCGGTGATGAGGGGCCAACACGCAGGAGTTGAAGCATTATTTAAAAAAAAAATATCCTTTTGCGCACTATGTACATTGCTATGCCCATCAGTTAAATTTAATTATGTCTAACGCTGCTTCTGCAAATTCTCAAGTACGTGTATTTTTTGGAAATTTACAAAACATTCCGGGCTTTTTTAATAATTCACCCCAGTGAGTAGAAGTCTTTAACAAGATTGTGAAGAGAAGGATCCCTCATGGCGCTACAACCCGTTAGACTTTTAATATAATGACCATTAATGTTGTATACAAAAATAGAGCGTCTCTCATTGAGTGTATGCATGAAATAGAAGAACAATTCACCAACAACACAGTCTGTAATGCAGCCGCCTCTATTCGCCGTACATTAAATGATCCGATCCTCAATTTTTGGCTGCCTTTTTTTCATCATGTGATGCCCCACGTAGACATTCTATTCAATAAACTATAGCAAAGAAAAATTGAACCCACTCTAGTAAAAGACGCTATCGATAATTTTAAACGCAGTATCACTCAAGTTCGAAATAATATTGATAGCATCATTACTGAAGCATTAGATATAAGGTTTGTTCCCAATCGCAGTTTGGATTGTACGAGAATAGTTTGCAACTTCGCAATAGCATAAAAGTGTTCCCAATCACTTGTAGAATAGTACATGTACGATGGGTTGGCTGTTCTCAATAAACACAAACTAGTACATTAATTAGTCTGCGGATGATCAAAACAGTCCTTGCTAAAAAGCATGTACGAAAAGTTAACGCATGCTCAAAACGATCTCCATCTACATTCGGTAAACTTAACCCAACTTTTTATTGATAATTTGGCGACTAATAATACTCCTGTAGAGATAATTATTATTGTTATTGTTGGTATTTTTATAAAAATGAGCGACGAAGACAGTATTCCGTCGAGTAGTGATTCGAGTGATTACGAAGAAGACGAGTTTTTTGTAATGTATAGAGAGCCCAAAAAAAAACGAAAACTATTTAGGTAGGCCTTCTTTTTTTAGGGGGGCTATATCCAGCGGACAATTTACCTAATCTCTAATGTCATTCATGACAATTTCCATTATAAGCGTTCCCAATAGAACAAAACTTTTTACTAATTTGTAACGTAGTTCATGTATGACATGCGCTTAGGTCAGTTCAAGTACTAATTGCAAACTAATCGTAACATCTAATTGGAAACAAACTTATAATAAGCGACCAGCCACCAGAAAATAAACGCAAGCGCCCAAGTAACAGCAGATTTGATCATCGGATTTCTGCTTTAGAGGTGTGTGACGTTATCCTAAATTGTGCAAAAGGTCGATTTGAGTTTAAAGAGCATCTAGTAGTTGCCTCACTTTTTTTTCGGAATGATTTGGAGAGTATTGTGGTAAATTTCCCAAAGATAAACTCACTACCGCATGCTCTTTTTATCCCACGCTTGACAAAGAACGATTGCGAACTGAACTGTCTGTTATTTATTCAAAAAATGATTGCAGGACATTGAATGGCGCACTATCTCTACTAAAATTTTTAATGTCAAACAATCTAGGAGATACGTTAAAGGAGACTAGAAAATTATTAGAAATTGTGGTAACAACTCCTATGACGACATCAGAGGCCGAACGATGTTTCTCAACACTAAATCGAATCAAAACGTTTCTTAGAAATTCAATGACCGAAGATCGTTTAACAGCTCTTTCCATGATATCTATTGAAAAAAAGTTTACTTCCGAAATAGACAATTTTAAAGAAAAAGTTATTACAAAATTTGCGAACCAAAAAGAACGTAGGATAGACTTAATTTATTAATAATAGACGGTTTAAATTGTTCACCATTTTCTTAAACATTTTGTATTTTTCTTGAAGAAAATAGAGTACAGTAAAATAGTGCTTGGTGTTTCTTTTTTTTTGTATGGCAATCGTTCCAGTAATCCATCATTCAGCAAGCACGATAAAATCGATGGGACTTTGACTAAGGAGACAACCCCCCTGAAAGGTAAGCTATTTTTGCAAAAATTGCAGAACACCCTAAAATTTTTACCACGAGTCGCCACTGATTAGCAACCCTCTGTTTTTCTTTTTCTCCATGCGTTTATATTTTATTGTTCTTGTAGTAAATATCGAAGGACTTGACGCCAGTGAAGACGTCTTGGTAAGTTGTGCTGGTGTCGGAATAATTCTGTTACTAGTAATGTGCACGGCTCTCCATAGAGAATGGAAAAAGTTTTTGGAAGATATTTTGGATTTTTCAGTATACGGAAAACCAGATCAAATCGACGAAGTCCTTGCAAGAGGAAATTTCTGGGGAAAGTGGTTTGGTATATAAAAATTTATTGAGTTTTATGTTTTCTAATATTATTTTTATAATTTCTTTATACTTTTGTCTAAATATTGTTTTGTTTGTTCAATGCATGTAGAATTATTTAGATAACTATTTATTTCACTAATACATTACAGAAAAAAATATAAGGACAACGACAGGATAAATTTAAGGTATATTCCGTATCTCCAACATTATTTTTTGGTCTTCGTCTACTATATTTTCAGGATACTACTACGTCCTTGGTAGCTTGGTCTATGCCGGGATCTCCACAAGGGATGCAGCGAAATGCAATAAAATGAACAAAGAATACAATCTACACTTTCTCTGCGATACTTTCGTGCCTTTATGGCTACCATTTGACATTCAAAATAAACTGGTGCGTCATCTAATATTTGCCGTACAACTAGTTTTGGTCATACTAGCCGTAAAACCGGGTGCTATAATGTGTTTCTTGACGTACCAATGTACTGAGGTGCTGGCGCTGCATGTAGAATCGTTGAAGAAGCACTTTAGGAAGATTATCGCAGCGAAAGATATTAGATATAGAGCTGATGGCATCGGGCATTGGGTGAGGTA